CTCACTGCTTCACCGCAAGGGCCATAAAAAGCCTTTGTGCTTGGCTTTTTTTTGCTCCTGTACATATCTTTACATAATGAACCTAGGGAAGGGGTCCTGTTGCTGTAGGTCTCATCCTATTTACTAGCTCCATGTCAGATAGGACACCTAGAAGAGCAACAGACACCTGCATTTAGGCAGCCTCACATATGGTCTCGACATACAGGGGAAATCATCAGGAGATGGGACTCAGACAAATACTGCACTAGTGAACAGAGAGGGATTTTAAAACTCTTAACAAGTAGCAAGGCAGGTCACAAGAACCAGGCAATTTCTTTTCTATTGATCACACAATACAAAATGCAGGACCATGGTGAATAAAGGTGATTGCTATTCTCACCTGCTGCTGGCTGCCACACACTTTCAGCCTGGTTATTATTTCTGCTTCTTAACCAGTTACCTTCACCAAGAAAAGGACCTCTGAAACAAAAAATCTGAGCAACAGATAACTTTCCTCCTCCTCTAACGGTGGCTGTATTTTACACCATCACTGTTCCTGAAATCTTGAGTATTGCAACTCCTTCAGTCTTAGAACAAATCACTTCTGAGGAAAGAGCTCAAGTGGAAAGAAGGAAAATTATAGGTAGCAACATTTTTGAGACTACATGAACAGCGTGTTTTCATATCCTGATTTATACTTGAGGGGGAGAAAGAAGGGAAGGTATTTCTTCTAAAACAGTGCCAACAAACAGGTCCTTGGTGCAGCCATACTCTCCTCCCACACCACTGCTTGCCTTCAAGTGTTGGGCAAAAGTGGCATTTTGCTGGCTTGATCCCAAGAACACAAACTTCCTCCTCCCAAGGATATCTCCCTGAACATTCTGGCAGCTGCTGCATGAAGGTCTTTGAGCTTCTCTTCCTATTCATTTCCTGAAGGGGGACAGGAACCTGTTCTTGCAAGACTGGAAGAACAGAGCTGAAGGGAATACAGAAGTAAATGAAGAGAGCTTCAATTCTTTTAATTACAGATATTTGTGGTGAGACAAAGATTGAAACAGTGTCAGTTAAAACTGATGATGTGGAAATTAGTATTACTGATGGTACTAGGAAGTGCCAACTTGTGACGCACTCTCCTTTTTTACATGCCAAAACCCAATATGATTCTCAAGAAGTTAAGCACTAGAAATACTGGCTTTGTTCTTTCTTACATTTGTTTGGAATCTCCGAGGGGAAAAAGTCTTTGGCAAGCAATCAGTACCTATTCTTTGTTACACAGTTAAAAGAAAATTGCACTCAATTTGCTTAGACTAAGAGATTTTGAGCCAAACCTATCCCCAATACAAGCAAGTCAAACTTCAGGGAAAAAAAAAAGCAGCTCAAAGTGTTCTCAAGGTAAGAGGCACAGAATAGCTTTGAAACACTAATTTTACACACTTACACAGATGATATTTACACACTTTTACAAATGTAATGCTGGTAGCTGCTAGAAAACTGCATTTCACAAACATCCTTCTCCATATTTCAGTCCTTGTTTGGCAAAATACACACCACAGCACCTCAACATCACAGCCAAGAATAAACCCTTTCAAGACTGAGCAGCTTTACTGTGACACCAGAAAGCCTTATGCATGCGTGCGTACTCATGAGATTACACATCTGAGGAAAATCAGTCATGTACACAAGTCTTCGCATAATGAAGTCCACAGACTTTTCACTACTTATAATAAAAAAGCATTTAAAATGTCAGTTATGCAATAGAACAAACAAGTCTTAAAGTATAACATTTCTGAGGGAAATTACCTCCATTTTTCTTAACAGCTTTTGGGAGGTTTATTTGGTTTTGTTGGTTTGTTTTTTTTTTCCCTAGGATATAATCTTTCCAGCACGAAGAGACAAGAAATGAATAAATAAAATAGTAAGAAAGGAAAAAAACAAACTGAACCAAAAACAACTGTGCAGTCTCATTTCAACTAGCAAGAAATGGAGAATTCTAAACAGCAGGAACTGAAACAATGCATTTTGTTTTTTCCTCTTTACAGAGGAAGATTTGAGTTATCATGTAAATACTGCTAGTTGTGTTTTGTGAATATTTAGGGATCTACAGCAATTTTATGAATTAATTGGAAGACACAGATTGCTTTTTCTGAAAACAAATGAAAAACCTTCCGAGCTCATTATTTGGTAAAATACTAACTCTGGAACTCCCTTTTGCTTGCATCCAGTTGAGAAACTAGTTTACTGGGTTCCCTACATGACATTTATGACTGAAACTACTTCTCAGTAAAACTGCCATCACTGGCCCCGCACTGATTAAAAGCCTCAGGACACTGATTCATCCCCAGTGATCAGTGCCCACGTACCTCTACCAAAACTTCCCTCTGACTCTTAGCGGCGCAGGAATAAGCAAAGGGACAAAGGGAGACGGTGGGCTGAGGCACTGAGTCAGCATTCTGTCTGCAAAACATCCCAAGCAGCAGAAGGGAGAACTGACACAGAAGCCGATGCCATCAGAAAACACAAGGAGGGGAAGAAACTCAGCCAGGGGTACAGGACCCAATTCAAAATCCACTTACTATACGGGCTGCAGCAGGCTCTGAATGGCACCTTAATACACAGAAGGAAGAGGAAGACCTGGAAAAATTAAGAGCTGACTTCGAGATGGAATATTTCAGCACAAAACTGCACCAAGCCACAACACACATGGTCGCAAGCGCTTTTGACTACAGGGGTGTACACACCCTCTATTTTCCTATCCTCCTGTCATTGGCAGGACCTACTGCAAGCATATCACCAACAGCATTAGGTTTTTTTCCTCACTCTTCAGACATACAATCAAGGAAGCTGTCCACATACAGGACACTGTGGAATCTCCATACCACCAGCCTACTTCACTTCTACTGAAGAGCAGCTTGTCAGAGGTGACAGGAACACAGGACTAGGAAAGAACTGGAATACAAGAACTCTCGTCCAAGTGCGCAGCTATGCGTGTTAGCGCAATGTACACTTGGTGATCTTTCCACAGCAAGCATCCAAGTGCTATCATTCTCTTCGCATTGTTATTACACAGGTCTGTTCCCATTAATAATTACCTCCCTGTGATGGCAGTGTGCAGACTTTCTACATTGCTGGTGCTACTGCTTTAGAATTCCTCCTCCAGGTCCGAACATGCTGGACAGATTACTGTCTCCCCCAAGGATGTCAGGACCGGTATAGATATCTGTTGTGCATATCTGCATCTTACATTACTGCTTAATGCGGCTCGCTTCCCACGTTACCTCATTTAGCCTTTGTAAATTCTGGATCTTTATCAAAGTGATCTTGATTACAAATAACAGTACCTATTTAAATATTCCCTACTTATATATGTGCAAGAAAACAGATAAAGCAAACATAACTTTGCTTGTTCACATTAAGCAAGATACGGGCAAAGCACCTAATGAGTTTTACTATAAAGGTAATGCTTGCTCAGAAACACAGGAGAAAATGGTGTGGAGCACTGAAAAAATGGCCACAGTAGCATATTCCTAGATCAGGACCTCATAAATCAGTTTCAACTAACAATAATAGGGTTTATAGGGGATCTGTAAATCACAAAGAATGAACAGGATCCTGGCCTCTGAGCAAGGCTTGGTGAATTAATTTAAGATGGCAATCAGGAGCAAATAACATAACACTAACCTTCTATACTACCAATGCTTGCCCTAAGTTGGAAGAAAGGGGGTTTCTTCTGCCACCACAAAAAGGGGAGGGGAAAAAATGAAAGGAAGGAAAAAAAAGACACAGAGAAAGGTACTTTGCTATCCCATCTGTGATGACAGTGGTTTTTTGATAGCTCAGAGCCGTGGGATTGAAATCTCAGCACTATTCCTGCAAATTTCTCACATCCTAAAGCCCTCTCCCTCAGACAAGGGGGCATGGCTAGTCCCCATCTCCATTTTTAGAGGCAGAAAAGATGATTCTTTCCCATCACGGCTGACAAACATCATGCTGAAAAAGAAAACAAACAAATACTTCCCTACACTATTTCTCTTTCTTAAAGCTGAAACTGACAATGCTTATGAGCAGCAGGCACCCCAAAGCCAGCACTGAAGATGTTTCACTCTCCACCCCAGCAGCTAAGCCAAGTAAGACATCACTTTCAGCACCACCATTACAGGAAGCACTGCTGAGACTTATTCCATCAAACAACAGGCTGGTTACCACTACCGTCCTCCATTTTCAAGTCTGAGTAACCTACCTCATGGCTCTTACACACTGGAAGCACCCAAAAGGAGAAGCTGCCACGGGCTGCCGGTGTGCTGCGAATGCACAGCCTGCATCCCCCCACTGACCACAGACCAGCTTTCCTAAAGGATGCTGGGCAAGACAGAAGCTTTCTGTGCCTCAAATCGTGTTCAACAGCAGTGGCAGCACTTGTAACAGGGGAAATGGAGGTTGCAAGACAGAAGAGCTGCTGTGCCAAGCTCAGGGATCCTCAACGAGCAGGAGTCAGTGTTGCCACGTCCTGGGGAGCAGGGGGAAGGGAGGAGACGTGCCTCGCTGAACCACACATGATTCTCTGTGACAAGGGCTGTTTTCTTCCTGAAGATGTGCTTTATTGACCGCTTCAGGCCCCTCCAATCTGCGTGTGGTGCAGCGCCAGAGCAGTTGACCCCATACAAAAGGCACACAGCCGGCGGTCCCAACATGCATTTAATACCCCCGGCCTCGGAAGGGGGGCTCGGCGCTCGCCTTTCCCGGTAGCACGCCACACTCCCGGCCCCGCAGTTGTGGCTTGCCGCTCGCCGGGCACACCGAGCGCGTTCGGACACCCCGAAGAGGAGACACCGCCGCCAGCTACTATCGCTACCCGGGGCCCGTCTGCAGCTCCGCCGGGCACACCGGCGCTTCAGCAACGCGGCGAACCACCCGTTCTGAGAGCAGGAAAGGGGGTAAAAGAAAGGTAAAGCGCACGAAGAAGCGGTGGTGCCGGTGCTGGTGACGATGCCGCCCCTCGCCCGCCTCACCTCGCCTCGCCTCACCTCACCTCAGGGACGGCCCCGTGGGCTGAGAGACCCCGAGAGCCGCCCGTCCGAGGGACGCGGACCTTCTCCGAGACGGTCACCGCCGCGGCACTGCCATGCGGGCGTGGAGGGCACCGGAGGGGGAGACCGGGCCGGGCGGGCTCGGCTCCTAGCAGCGTCCTGCAGCGCACACCCGCATGGCTCGGCGCACGGACAGCACCGGCTGCCGGCGGCGAGGCGAGGCCCGGCCCCGCGGCCCACAGCACCGCCCGCAGCCCGGCGGCGCCCAATGGGTCCCGCGGCGCCGCGCATGTGAGGGCCGGGCCTGGCCCCACCGCCCCGCCCGCTCGCCCCCCGCGCAGCCGCCGCTTTCAGGTGCCCCCGGGAGGGGGTGGTCCTGCGGGTCGGTGCCAGCGCCGTGGTGGGCCTCGGGCGGTGCGGGACGCCGGGCTGTGGTGCCAAGGCCAGCGGTTGTCGCTGAGGGCCTCATCTACGTGGTGTGTGAACACTTCCATGGATGGAGACTCCAGCACTGCCCTGGGCAGCCTGTTCCAATGTCTGAGCAGACATTAGGAAAGAATTGTGCCTAATTTTCATCTAAACCTCCCCTGGCGTGGCTTGAGGCCGTTTCCTCTTGTCCTATACTAGTTCCTTGGGGACAGAGACCAGCACCCTTCTGGCTCCACCCTCCTGTCAGACAGCTGTAGAGAGCGATAAGGTCCCCCCTAAGCCTTCTCTTCTCCAGACTGAACCCCCCAGGTCCCTCAGCCATTCCCCATCACACTTGTGCTCCAGGCCCTGCACCAGCTCTGGCCTTGCTCCAGCACCTCAATGTTTCCGTTACAGTGAGAGGCCCAGAACTGAACACAGGAGTCGAGGTGCAGCCTCACCGGTGCCCTGGCCCTGCTGTACAGGGGGATGATCGCTGTCCTGGCCCTGCTGCCACACTATTGCTGATACAGGGCAGGATGCTGGTGGCTGCTTGGCTGCCCTGGCACAAGCTGCTCATGTTCAGCCCCATCAATCAGCATGCCCAGGTCCTTTTCCATGAGCAGCTTTCCAGGCACTCTTCCCCAAGCCTGGAGCATTCAATGGGGTTATTGGGGCCCAGGTGCAGGACCTGACACTTTGTCTTGTTGAGCCTCATCCCATTGGCCAGGGCTTATGATATGTCCAGATCTCTCTGCAGAACCTCCCTGTCCTTCAGCAGATCAACATTCCCACCCATATGGTGTCATCCACAAGTTTACTGAGGGTGCACTCAATCCCCTCATCCAGATCATCCATAAAGATATTAAACAGCACTGGCCCTAATATGGAAACATCTGGTAGCAAAGCCATGGCTTGTTCACTTTGTGTGGGTAAATGAACTGTAGTACATGAGGTAAATAAAACAGCAACAAGTTCAAACTGTGTGTTTTGATTATTCAAGTGTTATCTGAGAAAAGAAAGGAAAAAGTTGTTTTTATTGTTTTATTGTATCTGTACTGAGCCCTTGAGGGAACCAGGACATCGGGTTTTCCTTCTGTAAGTGAAAAGGCACCAATATCCTGAAGTCCTTGTTGAACACTGACTTGGCAAATGGCTCATCCTCCTAATTTTGCTTCAGCCCCATGATTTCTAGGAACAGGAGGACTTGGGAAGTGATCTGAGGTGCTTGTTCAGAATAGCTTTATGGCCCTTTAAAAGTTCGAGAATCTCCCCTTTATATTTTTAGATGCATTTTTAATCAGACCTTCTGGTCTAAATGACTGTAAGATGTATCTAAGGTTACAAATGAAAGCACTTAGCAGCAATTCAGCTTCTGAGACCAAAGGAAATCAGGCCAGCTTGTCCTGCTCTCAGCTGTTCAGCACTATTTTCATACAGGAGTTTTCATCTGGTGGAGAATTTTAGCAGAGTTCAGATTTAGTCTAATGAGCTGTCAGTTATTTTAAGCTTTGATTTTTTAATACCTTCATTTGGCCTTTTAGTTATTTTCTTCCCTGAGATCACCAACACTTGTGTTATTTTTGGCCAGTGTTTTAGACCTCGCTCTTTCCTCAAGAAGGTGAATTTATTGTCTGTTTATTTACTTGTGCTCTGACCCAGTGGCCAAGCCACACAGGGGTGTGCAACACTGGGGCAGTGATGTAGGGTTAATAGAGATAAAAGCAGTCCAATCTGGTAAACATCAAGGCAACTGAAAACAGATAATAACAAGAGCTGCTGGCTGGGAACTCCTGACTCACAGGCAGCTGGCAGAGAGAGTCAAGCGGAAGAAAAGAGATCTTTTCAGATGCCAGAGCTGGTCAGAGCTAGCTGAATCCACATTCACTTGGCAATCAAGACACCTTGCCAAGCTGAGGCACTCCAGCAAATAGCTCTGGAGGACCCGAGGCAGAAGACACCTGGAACCGGGTAGATCCAGATCCAGTTAGAGTCCCTTTCTGATTGGGCAAACACAAGTGTGAAAGACCTACTTCCTACAGAATGTATGCTGGGTTGCTTGGTTTGCCTTCCACTCCCTTTGCCTTGTGATGTATATTTAAAGGTAACTCAAATAGTTTTAATTTAATACCCTTTGCGTTCCTTCCTTTACAGCTTCTCTAGCAGAGACCTCTGCTACTTTTTCAGGCTTGGTCTTCTCTGGGTTCACATCTTGGTGCTTGGCAGGTTTTTCTAGATCACTGTTTCTGGCTTTGGCCACCCAGGAGATGCTGAGGTGAGATAAAAGAGAGAGGAGGAGAGCTAAAAATCTGAAAGAGCTCAGTTTGGGACAGACATGCTTCCCAGCTGTTCTGTTGTTCTGCTATAGGGTTGTTTCAGAAGCACAAGTCAGCCAGCCCCAAGTTACTCCATGTGATAGAAGAGGTGCCAGAAAAATGGGGACAGCGGAGGAAAAATGGCTTCTTTCCACTTGCACTGTTTTGATGGTGGCCCTTTACAATTAAAATAAATGAATATTGTCAATTTAAACTGTGGCTTAGAGGCCTGCATTAGTGATTACATTGACAAGCAACAGCAATGCAGCCATGTGCCTCATAGGATGAATTCATCCTATTTGGTTTTATGACTGATTTTTAGCTTACATCTTTCAAATTCCCTAGCCTTGACCAACCGAAAGAGGTCAGACTTTTCCACCTTAATATCAACCCCATCCTTATATCATTACAAATTCCTAGTAAATACCTGTCCTCCAAGAGAGTTATGGTTTTGGCCAGGTTCAAAAGCTGACAATTTATTCCAAGATGTTTTCCAGTTCTTTCTTTCTTTCACTCAAATGGCCATCCTGTGCATTCCCAGATATGCCTGCCTGACATTGTCCAGCAGATCTCCAAGCTCAGTCCAAGGAAACCAGGTGCAGGAAGGACACCAGCAGAAGGTAACATAAGGAAGAGCTGGTGCCAAAACCAGCAAGTACCAGTGGTTCCTCAGAAAAGCCTACTGGAAAGTATTTCTGTCCTGGCTTTGGTGAGCTGACGGGTTTTGCTCTCAAGCAAATTTAAGATGAAGGGAAATATTAAAAGGTAGATGAGATAGTTACTTGGGAAGAAGTACAGATGGCAACATCAAAGAGAGATACAGTCAGGGAATTGGCTTTCTCCTCTCCTGAAACACAGCAATTTGGCTCCATGGAATGGGCAAAGCTTGAAAGGGAAGACTCCAATTTAAATAAGGATGAGGATCCATATGAGTCACTTCACTTGGATACTGGCCACCTCTTCCCAAGAAATGGGTTTCTATGTGCTGAACAGTTCAGCCACTGGTGCTCACACGGGACATGTGGGCAGGAAGGTGGCGTTGAGGATGCAGTCACCCTCCTCAGCCCTCATCCACCACTTGCCAGTCACCTACCCATTAGTACCACCTCTACCCCATGCTTTCCACAGCAGCTTTCCAGGCAGAATTAAGCAATGTGCTGGCAGCTCTTCTATAGCCCTGCAATCAGATGATGTTGGCAAGGGCCCGCTTTTGCTTGTGCCTGCAGCTGGCTGTGGAGAGGCTGTTGCTTGGAGAGCCAGCCCAGGGGTGATGGACTCCAGAGAGGAGAGGGAAACCTGTCACCCATGGGCTGCACTTCTGCACTGAGCTGTAGCTCAGTGTGCCCCATGACCAGAACACCACGGCAAAGCCTTCAGAAAGTCTAACTAGATTATGTCAGATGATCCTTCATTAGCTACAGTCTTACTGACAACCCCAACAAAACCAAAGCAGCACGTTTTCCCACTGTAAAAAGCATTGCAAAACATTGTCCCTACCATGCTAGGTTCATATATCATTCCTTTTTGATTTAAATTCCTGCCAACCAACTTCCTTTACTGCTTTATAACTCCATCTTAAATAATTATCCAGACCCACATTACCATGTTTTTCTGAAGACACTTCACTATTCTTCTTGTCTTCAAACACATGGCACAGCAGCCTCTGTGTTAAAAGACCTTTGGAAGCCTTGTGAGCCAGTCTATGCTGCTCCAGAGCCACAACTCTTTCCCAGTCTCTGAACTTCCTGGTTGGAAAAAATCCCTCTCTCCTTATCTTGTCTTTGTGCTGAAAAAAAGGAGGAGTGTCTCTGTCTTACAACGTCAAAATGACTGTTGTAGATAAAAAGCAGGTCTTTCCCCCTTGTATTTATATCCAGAGCTCCACAATGTGCTCACCAATTTTTTTATTCTGTTTGCTATAATGCAAATTCAATCACTCAACATGCAATGCAGCCATCTAAAACTGGAATGGAGATTTGGGGGATGAGGCCACATTCTTACCAAGTACCTTTGCATTATGAAACAAGAAGAGGAGCAGCCATCATGCCGAGTATGGTAAGCAGCGTGTGTTGTCACACTGCAGCTCAGCACAGTTTTCAAGTGATGGCAGGAACGACAGAACAACTCCTGCTGGCTGCTTCTGATTATACAGAAGGTCTAGTTTTCATGAGATACCACTTTTCATCCAATGGATATACCAGCAGATGGCCAACCTGTTTCATTCTGTACTTATCAATAAAGGACTATGAATTCCCAAAGTACACAGCATCATCTGAGGTGGAAGGGTTGGCAGAAAGGCAGGAAGCTGTGCTGCAGGCAAACATCATCATCTGCCCTTCACCCTGGCTGATTGCCTGACCGGGGCTTTAATTTGACAGAAACAGGGATAAGCTTGCACATTGCTTTGTCAACCTGAGATAGAGCCTGTGTCAGTCCAATGTAGAGCCTGGTAACATGGCACCTTCATACTCAGATCCCGGCTCAGCAGCACACCAGGTACCACTTTCAGATCTTTAAAGCCAGA